ARGRAWTTTYCCCMAWKKYCCCCCYKSCCCYKCCCYRGCCCATCCTGAGGCCRTTYCCTCTCCTCCTGTCCCTGTTCCCTGGAGCAGAGCCCGACCCCCCCGGCTGYCCCCTCCTGTCAGGGAGTTGTGCAGAGCCACAAGGTCCCCCBDGAGCCTCCTTTGCTCCAGGCTGAGCCCCTTTCCCAGCTCCCTCAGCCGCTCCTGGGGCTCCAGACCCTTCCCCAGCTYCGTTCCCTGCCCTGGACAAGCTTTTAAATKACAATGGTTTAGTATCTCTCAGCTRTCTTKCRTTAACCACAATTCTGAGCTGGGCAGTGTTGCAGTGTGTTAATTCCAGTATCTTGGGTAGAAAGTAAACAAGAGTTAGTTGTGTAGCCAAGACTTCAGCTGGCATAAATAAATGTAAAAACTGCTGCCATCTCCAGCTGAAGGAGTCCAGGAGCATATTTAGAGGGGAAATCAGCCTGCTGTTTGCTTTAATTTTCCACAGAATATCCGATCAGCAGGTGTGTTCAGGGAGGGGGCTGATGTGTGCCCCTGGCTGGGTGCTGATGGCAGACCCCAGGGTGGATGGCAGTGACAGGGCAGAGCAAGGCTGTGCTCCTTAGGCCAGGTGTGATGGCATCTGCCCTGCAGCAGCTGCGTGAGCACAGCTTGAAGAATGTTTGAACCCGGTGGAGAGAAGGTCTTTTGGGGTTCTTTCCCTCTGTTGGATCCATATATTTTTTATTCATTAATTTCCATATTTCCAGTAATTTATACACATGGGTTATTTGGACCATTAAGTACTGCTGTGGTTTTATTCCAGTCCTTACCCATAAATTTTGTAGTGTTTCTGTCTCTTTAAGCTGTTCAGTTGTTTGTTTTCATGATGCTCCGTGGTTCTCTGAAATGCACTCAGCTGACCCCCAGCTGGCCCTTCAAAACACATTTTTCCTTTGGAGATACAGTAATTCCCTGGGAAATGGACTCCAGAACCCTGGTGGTTCTGTGATTCTGTGATTCTGTGGAAATGTCCAGCGTCAGTTACTTTGTCACGCAGCTAACACAGTTTGTCAGGCGTTGGGGATCAGAGCTGCCAGCCCGGTGTCTCCTGGCTTTGGGAACTGATCCTGGTTTGGTGAAGTCCCAGCCTGCAGCAGAGGCCACAGGGGAACAAAGATGCTATCACTAACCTTTCATTCCTTATTTTTATCCCACTAGATGGCACCTGTGGAAGGCTGGCGGTGCCCCTGTGTGTTCTAAGGGCTTCTGCTGCCTTTTAATGTGCTTTGTCTGGCGGGGCTGTCCCCTGGAGCATCTGTGTGCTCTGCTCCCTGCACAAAAGGCTCTTGCCGTGGGTGTGCCCTGACAGACACAGCTCCAGACTCCGCGGCTCCTTGGGCAATCTGTTCTCAAACACAGGGGTCCTGGGGAACCCCAAGGGTTTTGARCTGATGTTCTTAAGCCTGTTACTCAAATGGAAGTCAGGATTTTTTTTGTTTTCAGTGGTTTTACTGCTTGAGAACAAGGTCATTTATCTAGAGGGTGTAGTTCACCCTGTCGTGGGTTTAAAARTAAAACCATGTGTTTTAATATTTTGTGCCAATTAAAATCCTTCCCAAAGGAATGATAAGCAAACCACATTATTCACTCCTCTCTCAGCTCTGGGCAACACAAGTGTGATGCAGCAGTTCCTGCCTGTGCCCTCCCACCCTGCAGCAAGAAAGTGACCTTTTGATCCTATTTGTGCTCCAGCCAGTGTCGGTCACTGGTCAGCCTGCACGGTGGCCATGGGGCTGGCCTGTGGCTGTAGCAGTCATGACCATGGTGATGGCTAACGCACAAGCGCTTCATTCTGTGTGTGAGCAGCTCTTCTAGGGCACCGCTCCCTTGAAGAACGTTGAATGATTCAATAAACACATCTCCCCCGAGCCTGGAGGGCTGCATAGTGCTGTGTGGGGTTTTTGTTTGTACTTTTTTTGCTCGTCCCTGGCTCTCAGACCACCCCACGCTGTGGCCCCAGCAGTGCCTGACTGTGCCCGTTCCTCCTSTCCAGGGCCGCTGCTTGTTTGCCAGCGGCAGTCCCTTCGAGCTGGTGACTCTGAAGGATGGCAGAACCTTCAAGCCTGGCCAAGGAAACAACGCCTACATTTTTCCAGGTAATAAATAAAGCCGTTATCATTTAAGCTCTGAGATGGRGCTGCTTGCACCTTTCCCTGGGCTCCCTTGGTGCACAGGCACAGTCAGCGAAACAGAACGAGGAGATGATGCCAATCTTTGAGCATTTGGGAAAATGAGTGAGTGAGTGACAGTCAGCTCTGAGTGGGTGCTGGGCTTGTGCAGTTCCATACGTGACACGAGAGCAAACCCAGCTGCATGTTTCTAGGAAAACACAAGGGTGTTATTAAAGGCTTTGGGAGCTGCTGCGCTGTGGGTTCCTCTGCTTGTTTTGGGAGGAAAGGCGAAAAGAAATGTTAATGTGCACTTGCAGTTGTGTTAGCAGTTCTGGAAGTTAACAGCTCTTAGAGCTATACTGCACAAGTGAGGGTGGAAAAGTAGCTCCGGGGATGTCTCTGCCTCCCCCTTCTCTCCATCTCCTCCTGAGCTGCTGCACCCCAGCCCTTGTCCAAAGCCACCTGCTGTGGCCAGAGGCTGCACACTTGGCAATGGTTTTGTGGAACTGGGAGGTGTCCCTGCCCACAGCAGGGGGGTGGAACCAGATGAGCTTTAAAGCCTCTTCCAACCCGAACCATCCTGTGACTATCTACACTAGAGTGCGTAGAAAGCATGGGGCAGATTTCTAAAAATAATGTTCTAGATGACCTGCAGCTTCTCAGCAGAAGGCTGCATGTTTTAAAGTGATGTGGCCCTAACGGCAGCGATTTCCCTGCAGGTGTGGCTCTGGCTGTGATCCTCAGCAGTGTCCGGCACATCAGTGATAAGGTTTTCCTCGAGGCTGCCAAGGTAAGTCTGGGGGCAGCGCAGGCTTTGGGTTCTGACACCRCAGGGATGGCCTGATGGGCTCTTTCTCAAATCTTGGTGAAACACAGGAGTTTCTTGTTTGATTTCTGTTGGTTTGTCCCTCCGCAATGAAAAAAAAAAGTGTTTTGGTCAAACAAAATTGTGGAAAGAACCGGGTTGGGTGGCAGTTTTGGTTAAGTAGGATGTGTGAATTGCCTCCCAGCCTCATAGCTGTGGCACAGTGGTCAGGGGCGCCGCTGGCCCCAGCACCCCTGGAGCAGGAGCACCTTCCACACCAGAGTGTCCGGGGACCAGGGCCGTACATGCGGGCAGCGCTGTGGTCATTCTTCGGCAGCCTCCATGGTTATGGGGATCCATCCTCTGCAGTACCACAGCTGATTTTGTTAAATGCTTACAGTCAGAATGAGCTGATTCTCAGTTCCACAGATGGAAAGTTTCAGATCCTGGCTGCCTTCCTTCAGTGCTTTGGGAGTGCTCTGGGTGGAAGAACACTGCAGCTGGATCCTCTCAGGTGTCCCAGCACAGTGTTAGTCACGTTTGGGGCACAGTAAATAAAAAGGGTTTATTTTTCTGACTCAGGCACTSGCGGAGCAGTTGACAGATGAGGAGCTCGCACAAGGAAGGCTTTATCCTCCACTGTCCAATATCAGGGAAGTTTCTATTTATATAGCTGTCAAGGTGAGTACGGAACATAAAATAGCGCTGCACTTCAAGTGGTTTATGTGTGCATTAACTGCCGGATCGCACAGTGTGGCCCTTGAACACGGGGTGCCTTGGCATACACACCCAGTTCTTTGTCCCTTCAGTGAGAGATGCTCGTTCAAACGCTCCCTCAGCTGGGTGTTCCAGCGTGGCAGTGGTGACAGACCAAGCGCTGCCCCTCTGGGTGCTGGGGTGCGGTGCCCAGATCACTGTCGGGCGGGTGGGGGCTGTGTCACTGCACTGCTCTGGGGCCATCCAGCAGCGACAGCACCTCCGGGCCGCTCTCCCCACAGGTGATGGAGTTCCTGTACGCCAACAACATGGCTTTCCACTACCCCGAGCCCGAAGACAAGAACCGCTACATCCGCTCCAAGGTGTGGAGCTACGAGTACGAGTCCTTCATGCCGGACGTGTACGACTGGCCCGAGTCCAAGGTGCACTGATGCACCGCCGCGCGCACTCCTCAGGCAGTACCTCCTACTCTGCAGGGATCCCTTTCTCAGACCAAGTCAAATCATGATCTTTGACTCCTCTAATTTATTTTCRCTCGTTTTGTTGCCTTTTTTTCCCCCCTTATACCCTGTTTTACACTTGATTTCTCCCAAGTACCTGATAAACTGTATGGATGATGGCATCTGCCACGGGGATGAGAGAACCCTCCAAAGTTAGTTTAAATAATGGCATTGCAATTCTAGCTTCGAGCCACACTACACTGAAGAGTTCTATTAATGATATTTTGGCTACATGCATTTGATGATGAACTATAGCTCTCTCATCACTGCTCATCTCCAGAATGATTAATTTCTGCCTTTAATAATCAGCCTTCTAATTGTCCTGGTGTTGCTCACTGCATTACCTGTGACATCCAGGGAGACCACTTGTGAAAGAAAAAAAAAAAAGGACAGTTGAAGACAACTTTAAGGTTCTCATGGGCTTTCGGTTTTCTTTAACGCTTTAAGATGTCCGTGTCCAGGCATCCTTGTGGCACTGGCTGCTGTTYCCTTGTGGAACAGCAAGATGTAAGCATGTGGAGTCTGCAGCAAAGTTTGCAGTTTTCATCACATCTTCTCAGGAGAAATGTGAACTAGTCCGGATTATCCTTGGGAAGCCTGAAAATAATATTAATCACTTAATAGTTTTTAGAAACAAAGCCGTGCTGTCACAGAATGAATTCCATCAGGTAGAGGTAGGACCTGAAGTAATTTATGGAAATATTTTAGAGATTTTACAAGGAGATTTTACAGAGTGGACTGTAAGATGATGTACCAAAGGATTTTTATTTAATTTTTTTTTTCAAGGTTTTGTTTSTTTTAAGTCAGGCTGTTTTCTCCCTTGCATCCTCTTATTCTCACAAAGAAACTCGAGTGTGCTGTGTTAAGACATTGCTGACTCGGCTCCAAAGTGGACTCTTAGAACAGGCAGCTCACAGGAGCTCTGAGGCTGAAATGGGAATTGTTCATCACACACAGATTCACACCAGAAACATTGGAACATTTCCTCAGTCCCAATATCTGGCTCAGTGCGAGTACTGGGCCCAAAAGATGCAGAGCCTGCAAGCTCCGTGTTGACCACTCCGATTTATTCCCTCCATTTACAGGTCCAGTTTGTCAGAGCTCGTGTGTGAAAACAAAACCTTCAGGTAGAGCTTTTCCTCGCCATGGGTTAGTGCTGCCCATCTGTTCCAGGTCCACAGTGAATGTTGTTGCTGATTCTGTCAGTGTGAGGGGCCTCAGTCACTCCAGAGGAGCAGGCAGGCTCCTCACCCCGTGAGGCTGTGTCCRGAGCAGGGAGAAAGATCCTGTGCCGTGCTCCTGTTTGCTGCTTCAAGGCAGGAAAAGGACCAGGGTAAATTAACATTCAGATGTGCCAGTGCTGTACCAGCACACCTGAAACCAAAAGCTGGAGATAAAGTAAAGCCTGCTCAGGATTTACTCATGGCAAGCACTGCTCCCGTGCCCTCCATCATACAGGGAAATGCAGTCTCCACAGAACAGCCCAGGACAGAGCAGGGACAATGCGCCCACAGCCTGACCTCTGCTTTTAAAATCACATTCTTACAAGGCACAGGGAACYGGGGGAAGGCTCTGCCTGAGAGGGGAAAGAAGGCTGATTATCTGAAGGCAGAAAGCGGTGATGTGGAAAAAAACCTGTGGTAAAGTTCAAGCTGTGGTAAAGTTTTGTGTGGTGGGGCTGGAAGTGCCGCATGGCCGAGTCAGGCGATGCGCRTGGATAGGAACTTGCACTCGTAAGCACGTGTATAAAATACACCAACACACACATAGGAGGTTTTTACAAAGAATGCTTTTTTCATCTATTTTTGCTATGCCTTGTTTTTATTGTATTTAAATTAGTGATCTTACTGAAAAAAAAKTATTTATTCAATGTATGAATTATTTTTGCCTTCTGGAAGTTTGGCTCTATCTGAAAGCTGTTGTACTGTGCCAGCAGAGTTCTGCACCATTGGATTCCAGTGCACTGGGAACACACACTCCCTCCCTTCTGCCAACACTCTCATTAGACAGATGGGTAACAAAAATACCCAATGCACTGATCTCCTGTACCAGATAGGAATGATCACAGAGGCAGGGGAATCGCTCCCTAACTCTGGCTTAGAAAACAAAGATTTGCATCCACCCTGTCAATCTGATTATTTTATTTTCAGGCAGGAATTGCACTTTCTGTCCTTTATCAGTGGCCATTGATAATGCTCAGGAAGCCCTGGAGCTTGGGGAAGCAGCGTTACCCGTGAGCAGCAGGGGCAGGAGCCAGGCTGGTTCCCCAGGGGAGTTCCTGGAGGATATCTGTCCTGGCTGAGGGAAGATGCCTGTTCTGTCCTCCCCCAGTCTGGCACCGGCTCCCTGCTGTCCTCAAGCGGGATTTCCCAAGGACAGGTGTTCCTGCATTATCATTTTTGTGGGGAAAGTTGCCCTTGCAGACCTGCGGGCTCCAGTTAGGAAGTGTTGGAGCTGGGGCAGAGAGGGCCTGTCTGTCCCTGTCYCTGTCCCTGTCYCTGTCCCTGTCCCAGCTGTGGCAGCTCAGCGGTTCTGCTCAGAGCTGCTCCATGCACACACACCGCCCAGGCTTTGTCTGACCGTGTTCTCTGGGTTTTCTGTAGCTGCAGGGTGCACATGGAGCAATTTCACCTTCAGTGTGCAGCCATTGTCTCCTGTTAGCTACAGGTGATGTGTCAGCTCACAGTTTTAAGTCCATTTCACTCCCTCTTTCATATTCTCCAGTATTTTTTTAGATACATGGAATTTTAAGACACATAAATTCATGTCCAGTTTTTCTTCAGGTACAATTAATCCTTGAATTAATTACAACTGCTAATCTTGCTGCCTAGTAAGGAACCACCGTTTCCTTTTTCGTATTTTGCTTATCACGATTTTATTCTGTTTGCTGGCTTATTCAGAAGTATCTACTGATATTTTTCTGTACAGAAAATTCTCTTACACAGTATGCAAAGGGAAACAGGTGTCACCAGGATGCATTTTGTCATGTTTCATAGTGTTAAGTTAAAAATACATGATCTGCAGGACAGCCAGTGTCCTAGCTTGTCACACAGCCCTCCAAATGATATCAAAGACTGTCTTCCATGTCTCTTTGGGGTATGCAGAACCTTCTGAGAGGATCAGGAACTTCAACTGAGGTCAGTCTTTCCCAGGATTTGTCCAAGACTCGCTCCCTTAAAATCAGCAGGGGCAGGACTGAGCCTCTTGGCAGCAGCCTGTAGGAGTGTTCAGGGGATAGTAAAGGTTGCTGATGAAGCACAGCCTTTCTTTATAAAATACGTGTGTTTTTGTTCAAAGATGTTACAAGGGTCTGTGTGTTCCTGAAGCCTCTGCCCAGGTGCCACCCTGACATGTAGAAGAATTATTAAAATGTTGTGTCTGATAGATTTTAACCCGCAGTGTGACTCGTGGCACAAGTTCCCGGTTACGTTTGTGAGCAGTGATGCATCCTGACACGTTGTGTTTGTTTTCCAAGTGACACTTACCTGCAGAGTGRTGTGTGGCGGGTTTCCTGTGGTGGGTGCGTGTCTTCCTCCTGTACTGTTGTTTCCAGCACGCTGTTTTATGGGGATAAAGTAACTCTGTCGCACTCCTCCGGTAGTAGCYGCAAAGATGAACCATACCCGTTGTAGTTCCTTGTTAGGAGCCCTCCGTGGCAACTGTGGCAGAGTGGGGATCACTACTGTGCAGCTCCAGCCCTGCGCTTTAGTTCAGCTGACTCTGGGCCCCAGGCAGTCCCAGCTGGTTTCATTTGCTCTTGTTCCATCGCCCTCTGAGGTGCAGAGCTGCGCTGCCCTGCCATCACATAAAGGTGTCTGCAAGGCACTCAGGTTGGACTGCAGGACTCCTGTCTCACTCAGAGTGCTCCGTGGGTTGAAGAGAACCACTGTCATTGCTGGACTCCCTTTGGCTGATCCGTGCTGCTCTCGCCATTCATCACAGCCGTATGTGAGCAGGATGGAGGAGATCCAGAGCAAAACTCTAACTGCACCTGCTTGGAGCTGAATGTGAGCACAGAAATTCAGCTGCTGCTGCTGCTGCAGGGACAGCGGATCCTTTGTGAACCTCCCTACTCCTGAGAGACACATCAGTGTGGTATTGGGACATGAGATCCTGCGTGGGGCTGCCCTGCCCCACCTGCCTGCTCCCAGGACACACATCAGTGTGATATCAGCACCCAGGGATGATCTGGGACAGCAGATCCTGCATGGAGCTCCCTGCCTGCTCCCAGGACAGACATCAGTGTGATATCAGCAGCCGGGGATGATCTGGGACAGCAGATCCTGCATGGAGCTCCCTGCCTGCTCCCAGGACACACTCCAGAGCGGTATCAGCAGCTGGGGATGATCTGGAACAGCAGATCCTGCATGGAGCTCCCTGCCTGCTCCCAGGACACACATCAGTGTGATAACAGCACCCGGGGATGATCTGGGACATGAGATCCTGCATGGAGCTCCCTGCCTGCTCCCAGGACACACTCCAGAGCGATATCATCACCCCAGGACACACTCCAGTGCGATATCAGCACCCTGGGATGATCTGGGCGGGCATGAGGCTGACCCAGCACAGCTCAGAGCTCACACTACCCTGCCGCTGCTGGCCACGGCTCTCTGTGGTGACAGGACTGGCTCGCAGTGCTGGTGGCATCACGGGCTGTGGCTGCAGCGGGAGGACACCGTTCCYGGTCACCAGACATTCAGCTCGTGCTGCAGGAGCCCTGTGCTGGGTGGTTGTATCCTGGAACGTGAGCTTGGCACTACACTGAACTCGGCTCTCCATGTTCCATTGACCAGCTCATCCATCCTTCAAGTAGGTTCTTCCTAACAGGAATAAAAATACTCTTAGGACTGAGGGCTGGTTTGTCAATAAAACAGCAGAATAATCTACATTTATTTCTATCTTAAACATATCTACCTTACACAAATCAATGTAAGCCTGCTGGTGAGAACAGTTCCAGCCGGATCTGCACGGGGTTGGCTGTGCCTGGGAGGGTCATTGCTCAGCTGAAACTAAAACTGTATGTAAAATGTGAACTGGTTGGGGTCTCTTCCTACTTTATAACGTTGTAACTCTATTGAAATGTGTGTTCYGGTCTTCTATTTTCTTAGTAAAATGCATTCCCTTTGCCTAAGTTGTATCTGATGTCATTTATTCG